AGGTGGAGGTGATGATGGCTGTAGACAGAAGAGCAGGGATAAACTGGGTAAGGGAGACTGTGCATCGACCTGGGAGGCGGTGGCTGGTGGTGTAGATTAAATCCAGGGGGGTCCAGAGGAGAGGTCCGAAGAGGAAGAAGACACTAGAGACGGCAGGGCAGGATAACGACTAGGGTGCTAACAAGGACTAGAGAGAACAAAGACAATCTTAGCATAAACTTGATAAAACAACATAACAACCACTGGCCTGAAGACAGAGAAAGAACTGGCAGGGGAGTGACTGGTGAACAGTGTATAAGTATGGAGGAGACTAATGAGGTGGGGCTGGTGAGTAATCAGGGAAGCTGGGCAGGTGTGTTGAATAGTGTAATCAGTGCAAGGGCTAGGCTAGTGTGAGGAAGAAGAAGAAAGGAAGGTGGAGCTGGGCAAACCTGACAGATATAGGTCTAAATTTGCGAAAAGCCTATTAATTCTGTGTACAATATGTTTTTCTTTTCTACATGATCATGTCTGACCAAACCACTCTCTTCACTCCAACAAAAATGTCAACACAGTTGTGTGTTTTTTTCCAGACCATAAAAACATGTGTGTCAGTCAGAAGGGTGGGAGGGACTGATTAGCTCTTGATTTCTCGGACAGAAGATGCTTATGTGTTCGCACATCTCTTCTATTTTTCAGAAGACTCTGGCTTGCAGTTGTGTTGAAACACAACTTTCCTTAGAAACATGATCTTTGCCATAAATGTACAATGTAAGTGAAAGTCACTCTCGGCTTTTCCCGTTGCGGGTTCGCCACAGCAAATCATCACACTGACAACTATTGCCCGTGTTTTACGCCAGATGCACTTCCTGACGCAACCCTGACTCGAACCCGGGCCGCATCAGCCAAAGCGCTGCGCCTTAACCACTAGCCTATTGCTCATTACTCCATCAATCAACAATCAAACTATTCAAGTAAATCAGGAAAATATCAAAAACAAGTTATGATACTAACTTTATTCAAAACTGTCAAGGGGGGCAGAACTATGGCACAACCAACAAGTGTGACAGAAGCAGCATTTTACAACAACAATGAGGTGATGCTGTCTGTCCTTGAACACACCAGGTAGATCCCTCCTCACCCATAGACACCATCTCACACACATCCACATCCAGAGACCATGTTATGAAAATAAACACAAAACAAAATGCAAGCACAACCATTAAGCTGCACACATATTCTACTGTTCTTAGTCTTGGTTGAAATACATTCTATTTTAATTCAGGTCTTTTAAAATGCTTACCTATGTGTTTTCTGGTCAGATGTCTGATGCCGTTTCCCCCTGGTCAGTGTGTCAATGTCTGGATTTAGGTCTTGTGCTGAGGCAATCCGCAAAACAGCGTGGAGGTTGTCATCGGTAATGCTTGATCTGTGCATGGTCTCGTTTAGATTCATTATTGAAAACATTTGTTCACAAAGATAGGTGCGAACCAAACATTGACAGAACACGAGCAGCATGAAGTTGGAGCTGTGATATCAAACCAGGGGGCAGTAGGTAGTAAAAGTTCTCGACTGCAGCATCCTGGAACTTTGCTCTCAGGCCACTGCTGCTTTGAACCTCAATTAACTGAAGGTGATGGGCCGTCAACCGTTCTTTTATTGTTTATTTGTTCTGAACTTGGACCTTGAGTCTATAATAAAGTGTCATTCAGTTACATTCAACGGAGCACATGAAAAAGCGCCAGGAACTGAGACTGAGATGCTCTGACAAACAGGAAAGTGGGTGATTTTTCTTATCGTGGACATTTTGGGATCATTTGTAGAGATTTCTTGATTCCCCTTAAAGTGGAGAGATGCCCTTACTTTGCGGGTAACAATCTAAATGCATTGTGGGAGATGTAGTTTATGGTCAATGCACGCTTTAAAGCAGAATATACTTATTTTAATATATATTTGCACCTATTAAGCTCTTGCGGGCCACATAAAATGACGTGGCCGGCCACATTTGGCCCACGGGCCTTGAGTTTGACACATGTGGGATAGAAAAGAGATAGTAAATTGGCCCACGGGCCTTGAGTTTGACGCATTTGGGATAGAACAAGAAATAGCACAGGCACAAAATGTAAAATTATGGCACTACACACACAAAAAAACTCCCCTAAAATCATGTAAATACAATTAAAGTGCTTGTTTGCAGCACTGACTCTAAATTACCAGAGGAGTGAGTGTGTGGTTGTCTGCATCTAAGTAAGTGTCAGCCCTGTAACAGACTGGTAACCTGCCCAGGGTGTATCCCGCCACTTGTCCAGTAACACCTGGGATTGATCCCTGGGACCCTCTTCAGCATATGTGCTATAGATAATAGATGGATGGATGTTTGCAGCAACACAAAGTGGTAGGATCTGTTATCAGTGTGTTAACATAATCCTAAACTTTGCCAAGGACACTTGGCAAACTTCTATTATCAGCAGTCATAGTTTGACATCTCAGTACTGTAGATTTTCCTTTACAGTACTATGTAAGTCACACAATTCCAGTCTTTAAATTTAACCCAGTGGTGTCTGTCTGGTTTTGTGGTACCTCATTTTAACATCTTATTTCATGGCATGCTTTATATTATACTCTTTGTTACATATTACTCTATTCAACATTCAGTGGGTGAGATGAGTATCTGAGGATAACCAGGAATGTAGAAAAGTTTAGCATTTTTGTGTTTGGTGCTGCTGAACTGATTGCTTGGAAGTCTTACTGGTAAAACAATCTTTTATTCCACTTGTGCCATCTTAAGACCTAAACCTGTGCCAAATATCAAGTGTCATAACCACTGAGTTATGGACATATATTGCTGTATTAAGGCAAAGTGGTCATGCACTCAAGAATTTGGCAACTTTACTACATGATGGCATTCTCCATACCAAAATATAAATTCTGCCCTCAGCCCATGGCCCAAATTTCTCCCAGATTTGAGAAGTGTCTGTCTGTGGACTGCAAGACGGGGCAGAATGTGTCAGAGCATAACATGACGTGTTCAGTTATTCCTTAACCTAAACCGTGTCCTTAAAACCCCCCCCTACAGGTGGGAGTAATCAATGACTGGCTATAAAAGATGGACAAACCCTCTGTGACATCACCCATCTGTTTTCTGAAGCATGGTTTTGAAGCAATAGCCGGAACAGGAGTGCGCCAGCGTGTGACAAACAGACCAGGAACATAACGAAATGAACAGACAAGTGACTGAGGGAAAGGAGGAGCTATATATGGGTGAAGGCCAGGGGATAATTGGCAACAGGTGAAAACAATGAATGTGGATGGGAACCATGGTGAAGCTGGGGCAGGAGAGGTGAGACGGAGCAGAAAAAGACCCCAAATAAAAGCACAAGATCGGGAAGCAAGAGCAAATTATAACAATCACATAATATTTCATTTTGTTAGAAAAAAGTCTCACTCATGAGAGTTTGTGAGACTTCTATAAACTAAGTTGCTTCTGTATAGAAATACTAGAACATACGTACACCTCATTTTTTGAGCTTTAGGTCACATTTACGATGAGAATTCACTGTAACAACATAGATAAGTCAACAACAAACAAGGAAAAGCATGCCATGGGCTCTTTAATTTATGCACAACCATAGACTAATATGCATGCATATTATTGATAGCTGTCTTACCTCATAAAATAACTTTTATCTCCCTGGATTAAGGTAATGTGCTTGTGTGAAATTAGGCTTTCACTGTTTTCAAAATGTGTCACTTTTATTAAAAAAAATAACTGAAGCTTTTGCTTATGAAATGTTAGATTTTGTAAAGGGTGACATTGATCACCTCAGTCTGTTTTCTTTGCCTGCAGAGATCCATGTAACTCATCTAGGGAATTTGTAAAATAGAAATCACATTATTTTCAGCAGTGTATTTTTAAGCGCTTCCCTTTTCAGTTTTTCAGATCAGGATTTTGCAGCAAATGCTTTAAACCTACTCTGTGCTATATGAGATAAAACACATAGTGGCTGGCAGTCCAATAAAACTACTAAGAGAGAAACATAATATGCTGAGCTAAGGAATGTCATGTTCTTTTCACTTTTCTATGAAAGTGCTGACAGTTAATGGTGGGGGGGGGCGACTGTGGTTCAGTGGATAGAGCAGTTGTTTCCCAACTGGAGGGGTGGAGGTTCGAATCTCAGTGCCTGCAGTCCACATGTCAAAGTGTCCTTGGGCTAGACACTAAACCCCCAAGTTGCCCCTGATAGTTAGAGCCATCAGAGAGTTGGCGCCGCAGATGGCTGCCTCTGTTCTGTACCGGAAACAAATTCCTTGTGTGTGTAACATACTTGTTCAATAAAGGTGATTATCCTTATAATTATCCTTAAATGTGCTACACTGGTATCATGCTGATAGAAGCTCTTGATTTGACCAATTCATAACCATCAGACATAATATATATTTGAAAATGAATGTCAAACTAAAAATAATTCTGTAAAATGTGAAATTATGTTTTTAACCACATACTGCACAACTGTTCTCTCTTCTGATAAATGGACCAGAAACAATTTTTACTGAGTCTCCAATAGAGCCTGTTCTCAGATCAAATTCAAATCACTGCAACTGCAAATTGCCAATTTTAGAGTGACTTTGGGTTTTTTTGGGGAGGGGGTGGGGGTAGTGAACGAGTAACATCATAGGGGAGTCAAGTAGCATATTAAGCATGATGTAAAAATGCTGAGTTTAGTTTTGTGCAAGTCAAACCGTGATCCCATTTGGCTGCTATCCATCAGTTATAACCACATAAAAACATCATGGTGGCAGCAGCATATGTGTAGGCAGTGGAAGTAGTTTTTTAGGACATGTTAATCACTTGAGTCAAATTTAGAGTCACTAAAAATAAAAGATGAAATGACTATAAATTTACAAACAGTGCACAGTATGTCTACCTAAGACTTCTGAAGGACTTGTCTGTTAAATTACAGACATAATGCCACCTTGTGGAGATAACTCTTACTACATTCCAGTCAGGTAATAGGCAGCAAATAAAGTATTTGTTTATATTGAACATGGCAGAGATCAACAGGTGCTGGCCATCTAGAAATCAAACTGGCAACCAGTTAAAATGGAGAAAAGTTGACTCAACCTTTGTGTCTAAAGACCACCAATGAATTCTGGGGCCCAGTGTCAGAAAGCTGGGTCTCTGTCAG